TTTGATTTCAATTTCTATCATTCTTAAAATATTTTGTTTGGATAAGTCAATTCAAAATTTTCAAATTTTAAATTATTGGGTTGGATATGATAATTTGATTCCACCATGGTAAAATTATTTTAAAAAATATATTTATATGTTGAGATTTTTAAATTAAATTTTATAAAAATAAATATTAGCTAATTTTTAAATATTTAATAATTTAAAAAATTAATATTAGATAATATTTAATAATTTTAAAAATATTTTTAAATATCCAATAATTAAAAATATGAAGAGATAAGAGATAAGATAAAATACATAAGTGAAATAAGAAGAAAAAAATATGAGGAATTTCAAATTCTTACTTTTTTGGAAGAATTTGAAATTCTACTATTTTAAAAAATTTCACAAATACTTGAATTTCAAATTCCTTGTAAATTCTCCATCCAAACAAGGTATTTCACCTCAAAGAATTTGAAATTCATCAAATAAATGAATTACTCCATTTAAATTCCTCATCCAAACACACTATAAGAGTGTTATCTCCTATTTACCATTTTTACTCATAAAAAAAATATTTTTTTTCTTAAAAGAATACAATCTTGCATTCATTCTAAATATCTCTCAAAGTTGGCAACACATTTACTACACCCAAGAAAAAAAAAATTCATTAACTTAAACCCCACTTACCAAACCAATGCACTTACACTATAAAATCCATTTTGTTCACAGAAAAAAAAAACAAAAAAAAACTTTAAAATTCATTTTAGTAAAACCGGATCATAAACTCCAACTATTTTCAACATTCAATTCCAGATCAGGGGCTCCGTTTTATATTTTTAATTTGGATAACCATTTTATACACTGATTTTCCTTTTATGTTATTTTGTCGTCCTAACAGTCCTACGTACACTACTTGTGAGTAGTTTTGGGCAAAGAAGAGACGCATGTAATAGAAGTTGACATGGGAGAATATGTGACACCTTTTATTGCATGAAAAGAAAAATGTGGTTTTGCTATTAATTTTTTTTTATAAATAAAACTAAAACCAAACTGAAACTTTTAAGTAAATATAAAAATATGAATAAAAATTAACTAATAAAGTTTTACCGGAAAAAATAACAATTCACCCAAGCCAAGTGATTGATTGTCAACAGTTAAATAAGTTGTCTAAATAATAAAATAAAATAAAAAATAAACTTACTTTTTCTCCTGTTAAAATAGTATTAAAAAATCATATCTTCAAATTTTTTTTTTCACGAACTAATCAAAATGAGTCCCAAGTTAAAAACAAAACTAATTGACTTATCCCAAATGGAATGGCTAATAAATAGTTCATATGTATGTCGATCATAATTTAATAAGAATAAAAGGCTAGGGCTGTTGGTGGATTAAATAAATCCGTGGAAATATAGGGGGTGATATAAAAAGCTTAACTATGAGAAATAAAAATAATGGATTTAATCTTTTAAGCATTCTATGCCACTTTGGTTTTCAATTATGTCACTGTTCACACTTTGAAGCTCCATCAACAATGTCTCCTGTATGAGCAGGCCCAAAAGTTGGAGCAAGATCACCAATAACAAGGAAAATTTACATATAGAGATAGATGAATGCAATATTTAGAAAACATGAAAAATAAGTTAATCAGTTTCAAAAAGAACCGCACGAAATAATTAATTTGTGTACATGAAAAGTATAAACCTTTTTATCTAACACACGCTTTAGTTCAGAGAGTGCCTGTATATCAGCTTCCTTAGCTTGATGGTGTGTCATTTTACACGATTGAGCACAACCTGCTGGTGCACAGAGGTTGTCGACTGTAGCAACCTTTTCCTGGGCAACAACAAAGTTAACACTGCCATGTATTATTTCAATGGAATTATGAGGTAATAACTTTTAGAGCACATAATGTTTTAGTGCTTCTAGCATCAACATTTCTCCACTGGTAGTAGAAATTTGGATTGCAAATCCAAGCAAAAATGATGCAAGATACAACAGAATCACTACTACATCTGTAAGATATGAGATGGTGAAGGTTTGTCCACTAGTCAACCATTAGAAGTAATAACTATGAAGTTCTACTATTAACTGTTCAAGATTATTTTATGCAAGCATAAAAGAACACAAAAATATTTGACTTGCAATGAAAAAATTAAGAATTTAATTTTGACGTACTGTTGATTTAAATGATTTTAACACTAGTCAAATCATATGTTAACACATTAAAATTTAAAAGTTTAACTTTTCAAGTAACTATTATTATAGTCAAACTCCTTTAATGAAGTGACAATACATGATAGATAGTACAATGTCAAGTATAGACTATAGATGGAATGTAAAAAATAAAAGTTTATGCACCAAATCAAGCCATTGAGGCATAATATTAGTACATTGATACTTGTTAGCAATCTAACATTTCAAATTACAAAAGCACTTGAGATATGTACCTTCACAGGTGAAGAATGTGTTTCACACCCCCCAAAATTTGAATTTCCATTAATCTGTGGCTCTTTAGTCATAAAAGAGGCTTTTCCGGCACCAACCTGCGTCCTCAGAGCTTCTGGCATATTATCTAATGGATTCAAAGGCATGCAATCAATGTCCTGAACCAAAAAAAAACACCAATTAAAAACAAGAAAATGTGAAAACCATTATCAGACATAAAATATATCAAGATAATTTATTCAACTGGGAGAAAGAAATATTAAACCTTTGATTTTTTATTTACAGAACGTGATTCACAAAGATCATTTATATATTTTACAAATAACAAACCAATTTTATTCAATTAGAGTTATCACAAAGTGAGCTGGACACCACAGATTCAAGTCTTGAAATCAACCTTATGCAAGGTTGCTTTCTATAGGTCCAACCT